TTCTGAACAATACGGCGGCTCTCCAAGCTAACAAATAATTGTGTTTCCATAATTGTATCGTCTCCCGCTGCTGAAAAGAAATACAATTCCTGATGTCTGTCCATTTTGTCCTCATGTTTCAATAGAATATAGGAATATTCCGTTTTCAATATTCAATCCCCGAAGAGGCTTCATTTTTTTTAAGCCGATAAAAGTATTTGCTCATAATCTGTGACATTCTTTCGTGTTCTACCAGCATTAATTTGATTTACATATATAAATATTTGTTTTCAAGCGGTCACGTTCTCGTAGTCTGTCTTGTGCAAAACGATTTTGTTTTTTCTTAAAAACCTTTTCGCCCCAAGCAAGGCGATAATGCCACTAAGACGCAAGCGCCAACTGAAAGAGATTTAGGAGCCGGAAACTCAATAGAAACAGGAAACAAAATAAACGTCTGCTACTGTTCAAAAGAAGAATATTTAACACCGAAAAACATGAATTATTTTTAATCATATGTGGAAATCACCCTTTACCTGATGACGATCGCAAGACCAGAAACACGTGTAGTAAAATTATGGAAAATAAAGCATAATATTTTGATAAAATGTACCGTTTTGAAGTTATCGACAATAAAAGTTCGTACTCATTCCCGTCGAAGTGGATGAACTTGAAATTAATTCTGCATTCCATGAAAAATAGAATGTTACCCATATACTCGTAATATTCCATTTTCACACCCAACCCAGTTCTGCGGAATCAGAATCAACGTTGAGTTTAAGCAAGCGAATGAGCCAATTGGAGTAAAGTGACATGCAGATTTAAATTTTTCCCACTTGTGACGAATGTAGCTATCGATTTTTTTGCATGGTAGCATGCTAGTTAACATTCGTGTCAGTCAGCTGTTGGCTTTTACGCTGGCAAATAGAATCTTCCTGCCTATTCCTGGCAGCCAGCTATACGCTCTCACTCTGGCCAGAAGAAAATGGCTGCAAACTACATGAAAACTGCCGTAGAAGCATGAAAAAATCGATTATTTCTTCTATCGATGGGAGTTGGGAAATGCAAAGTCGGTCTTGGTCTTCCCGCTAACTTGGAGCATGTGCATGTAAATTTTGGTGTAAATCCGTAGAAAATTGCGCCCTTGGGGAGGAATGTGAACCGGGTGAGGGACGAAACTATCTACACCTATCCGCGATAGTCGAATGCAGATATGTAGTTAATGGCGGATATAACTTCAGCCTGCCTTTAGCATCTTCTGTATGTGGACCTTCACAACTTCCTATCATTCGTAAAACTACTAGACCTCCACGCCATGTTCTGCTATCTATTTAGGTATTTGTTAGTTACGTTACTATATTTTTTCTGTCTTATGCTTATCAAATTCACCAGGCCATCTTTCCTCAATATATGTCCCATATATCTGTTTCTGATTCTAAACAAGTGGCATTTTGTTCGTATTTTCCCTAAAACTTCTTTCTTGTTCACATATTCGGTCCATGGAATCCTCAGCATTCTTCTGTAGAGCCACATCTTTATTGCCTCGTGTCTCCCACTTCATCACTGAGTAGTTTGTCCAGTATCCACTACTATATAGGAAGAAATAGGAGTAGATAGGATCACATATCGTCCGGTTCGCACTCCTCCCCGGTTTTTGGAATAAGTGTAGAGTTTTAATCCTTGTTCCCAGTTTACAATTGGGTTTCCGGTTCCTTTTAAAGTCTACTTCAACTCCGTACTTCTAATCTCTCCGCTTGAAATTAAAATTGTTTTTCGGTAATTCATTATTTTTTCTTCAACCCCAATAGGATTAGATAGGTTCGCCTATCAACTGATTCACACACCTCCCCGTTTTTTTTTTGTTTTTTTTGTTTTTTTTAATAAGGGTAGAGTTTTAAACCTTGTTCCGTGTTGAGGATTGGGTTTCCGGTTCCTTCTAAAGTCTATTTGAGCGCTAAACTTCTAACGTCTCCGCTTGAATTTAAAATTGATTTTCACTCATTCATTATTTTTTATTCTTCCCCAATAGGAGTAGATAGGCTCGACTTTCGTCCGGTTCATACTCCTCCCTGATATTTTGAACAAGAGTAGAGGTTTATCCCTTTTGGTTTCCAATTTCTTCAACTCTGACGCCTCCGCCTGAAATATAAAATTTTATTCTGTAATTATTATCTTTTTTTCTCCCAATAGGAGTAGATAGATTTGCCTATCGCCCTGTTCACACTCTTCCCCAGTCTTTGAGCAGAAGTAGATGTTCATCTCTTTTTTCCTGTTTAGGATTGGGTTTCCGGTCCCTTCTAAAGTTTACTTCAACTCTACACTTTTAACGTCTCTGCCTGAACCCTGAAATTTTATTGGCTAATTAAATCTTAATTTTCATAGAATTATCTGTCTATTTTCCCTATTGTCTTGGCTTTTCTTACGCTAATAAAACCCCACACAGTAACCATCTACCTTGAGTGGCCCTTGGGCCTTGTATTGGGTGAACATCAGTAAAAAAAAAAAGGATTGCTATTACATAAGAGCTGAGCATTTTTATTTTCTTTTCCATTGAAAATTTCCTGTTTCTTCATACTTTGCTTAGCTTTAGGTAGGCATCTTTTGCTATTTACATTCGCCTCCTGGTTGTTGTTACGTATTTTCAAACATCTGTGTTAACACTGTCCATGTTCTTGCAGTTGCTTCCTTTTGAGAACACCAGTATTTTGGACTATTCTTTTTGATAATCTACATATACAACTCTATGACTTTTGTTCGTCCGTCACACCCTCCAGCATAGCCATACATTGATGATCGAAAAAAATTTGTGTAGAAGTGCTTAAAAGGTAAGTGAGTACAAAATACAGTTGGTTTTACTAAGAGGCTTAGTACAATAAATTTTCATTAATTATTTTTTGAAAATTTAAAAAAAATTTAAAAATTAAATGTTTTCTTTTTGATATACAAAATACCCGCACTATTTAAAAAATAAGTATCCAATGATTAAAATAATAATTACGAATATAAAAAAAAAAAATCAATATTGTTTTTACATATGTTTTGTTTAACTTTACAAGAATCCAGTTCCAAGTTTGCCTTCCGTTTGCATAAACTATAAACAAATCACAAGGCCAAATTCTTCAAAAAGTTGAAATTTGGTCCCAGAAAGAAATATTTACATAGCCAGTTGTATGTTGCATGCTCAGGAGTAAGAAATACTCAGAATTTATTCTTTGCTGTTAAAAAAGAAAAATGAAAGTAATAAATTTTATAAAAATATTGTTTACCATGAAGTCTTATAAAATTAAATTAAATTAATTATTAAATCGCAAATTAGGGCTTTTTTCAAAATCTTTTTTTTTTTTTTCAAATCAGCTTATTCAAATTTCATCGATTGGTTTGTAAATCTCGACAAAAAAATGTTAGCGATAACTTCAACAATACTAAATACTCTGATGATTTCAAAATTCTAGTGACTATATATATATGTCTTCTTACAATAGAGGATTCGTCCTTTTTTCCCCGCTTTCCTTTATTACCGTGACTCGAATATGGCGTCACATTACGTAAATCCGTGTAAGGACTTCTTTTTTTTTTTTAGACATTTCACCCTTAGCAAGGCGGGAAGCCACTAGCACGCAAGGGGGTATAGAAGATTTGGAGCGAGAGCAGATAGGAATGATAGAGGAAAGGATGAGGAGAAGGATAGTGGATAGATCAAGGCAACTGGAGATGTCGATTGACATTACATTTGAATAGTTGGAGATTATAGCTCTCAGGGAAACAGGAATAGGGAAGGGAGTTCCACAGGTGAGAGGTGCGAGATATGAAGCTATTGGAGTAGAAGAGGCGGCTACATTTAACAGTTTAAACATTGAAAAGATGAGAGCAGGATGCCAGCCTCGTAGGACGCTTGTATTCATGAAGTCTGGGAACCAGCGAAAGCATCTCATCGGAGCAATTACCATGGAAGTATTTGTAAAAAAAGACAGAGAGAGGCGACGGCACGTATGTGAGAGAGCGACTGCAGACGAGATACCAGATCAGGGCCAATTATATTGAATATCCGTCTCTTATCAAGAACCCCGTGGCAAACAGAAGTGTCTCCAGACCATATATGGCACCAATACTCCATGCAAGGGGCAATGGTTGACTTCTAGATTTGAAGGATCAATTCCCGGGAGAAGAATTTCCTGGCGCGGCACAGGGAGCCAACTTTCCTTGCGGTGGGCGAAGCAATTGACTGAATGTATTTGTTCCATCTCAGGTTAGTAGACAACGTGAGACCGAGCAGCCGCAGAGAAGCGCTCTCGGGAAGTTGAGCGTCAGACATTCTAATGGGGAGCAGGGAAGGATCTCTGTGATGATTAATAGAGAGCAGTTTTGTTTTTGAGGCGTTAAAGTTAACCAGCCAATTCCTGCCCCAGTTCACAACCGATTGGAGGTCCTTTTCGAGACGAACGGCCAGGTTAGTTTTGTCAGCGACACTAGATTTGTTTTTGAGGCAGGAGTAAATTTTAGATGCCAACTTGGGATAAGATTCTGATTCGAATGCCCAAACGAAGACATTAATATCAGCGTTTTGCAAAAAATTTCTAGCTTTATGAAATTTCCATATCCAAACTTTCAATCGAATATATGAATTAATAACCAAAGTAAGTCAATCCATGAAAACATAAAGAAGACAGGAAATTAATTAAAAGTTTAAAACAAGATATGATGTATTAACATTGATTTTTTCTACGTAATACATCAGCTTCAAATGCGACGGTTACATCTGTATCTCAAACTGGCTATAAACAGACGTTGGTAGAATGTTACACGTTGCAAACTTGACATTGTTAACAAAGACGCAAAATTAACTTCAGTTTCTCACTTAATTTTCTATGAAGAATAAAAAAGCTTTTAAAATGATTTTTTAATCGTGTCCACACCAAGAAAGGCGGTAAAGTGATTTTATCTGTTTATTATTAAGATAGAAAATAAGCTGTTGCCCACATACTCGTAATATTCCATAAGCAATACACAGTTACTTACATTTAAAGCGTGATTGAAATCTATCTATCTATCTATCTATCTATCTATCTATCTATCTATCTCAGTAGTTTTCAACCTTTTTGCTGGAGCTGAACGAAACATTCCAGTGGCTTGAGGAACCCCTGCAATAAATTAATTGTCTTATGCAAAAAAAAAAAAAGCTTTCAATTATTAAAATGAAATAAAAATACTCATCTTCAGATTTATTCAGAAAAAAATACAAAGACAATCTTTAAAAATATTGTATACGTCCATATGCAATTTTAATCTTGCTTCTACGGTTATTAACACATATATTAAAAAAAAACTTCAGTTTAAATGGATTACATTTATTTTCATTATAAATTCAATGAGAAACTTGAACCTGGTGTTTCTTGCACAAATCTTTAATATTAGGCCGTGTTTTTGACAGACACACACGAAGTTCATTTTCCACACATATCTGCACAGAAGAATTAAAAATTACTGTCAATCTTAGAGTTGACTCTTCCACAACAAGCCAGTTAACCCCTACTAGGAAATGCCCTATTCCTGTTGTAATTTTTACCATCACGATCTTACAAATATACAACAAGCATCCATTGGTTAATCCCCTTCAATCTAGTTCGCTGATTGGTCAGTTCCGACCAATCAGATATCTTGCACGCGACAAATCTGCTTTACCGCGTTTTCCATCTGAACCAGTCACGTGGTACAACAAAATTATAAAAACAGAACACGTGTAAACTCCCTCGAGTTTCTTTTCATTCATCTCTCTCTCGCGTCTCATTTGCCAAAATGTAATCTTCAGGAACTCCCGTCTTTGCGATCAGACGTTAAAGACCATTAGCAACTTTCACGCAAGTACGAACTCTGAAATCTCTTCTGAACTTTTACCAACTTGTACAATACACAATTCCAAACATGCTAAAGAAACTTTATTCTTCTAAACTACAGTTTAATAATTACTTTCACTTTATGAGCTCGAATACAAATATTTCCAAATCTAAGAGACATAACACTATCACACCTTCAGCTCTTATGCTTGTACATCAAATACTTAATAAATTCAATTGTTACGTTTTGAAACAAGATGTTTATGAGTATTTATTCTCATTCTTGTATTAATTGTTGTGGATGGAAGATTATTGAACACACAATTTTAAGCCTTCTGATAATTCAAAAATGATAATTCAAACCTTCTATTCCTCTCCAACACACATCACACATCCGCAACAATAGTACTTGTGTAACTTCTTGCGAAACCCTTGGTCTTTACTGGCGGAACTCTAGGGTTCCGTGGAGCCCTGGTTGAAAACCACTGATTTATCTAATGATGCTTTCTTCTTTCTCTTTTCGACATTTCTGTACCTATGATTTTATTCGTTTGCTATTAAGATCAAAAAGGTTGACAGAACTATTTTCAACTTGAGGGTAATTTCCAGTTTCTAATAGAAATTTCCCGAATGGTTTTATTTAGGTGTAAATGTACATGCTTAATTCGAAAATAACAAAGAAATTTTGATAAAATGTACCGTTTTGAAGTTATCGACAATAAAAGTTCGTACTCATTCCCGTCGAAGTGGATGAAATTGAAATTAATTCTGCATTCCATAAGAAATAGAATGTTACCCATATACTCGTAATATTCCATTAGCAACACGCAGTTACTTTCATTGAAAAATCTGAGTGAAATCTATCTATCTATCTAGTTAGCTAGCTAGCTATTACACCATCCGCACATCCAAGCTTATAGCACCATTTATTTCCGAATTTCTGAACAGGATTGGCGTTGTTTAGCTTCGATGATCGTACAGGAATCGCTTAGTTAGTGCGTCTATCACACCCTCTAAAACAGCCATACGTTGACCGATAGAAAGTACAAACAGGTAAGGTGTCCAAAGTATAATTGGTTTTACTAGTGTGTGTAGCTTAGCACAATAAGTTTTCATTTTTTTTTTTTTTTGATAGTTAAAGGTTTTATTATTTAAAATACAAGACTTATTTAAATAAAAATGCAATATTGTTTTTTGCATGTATTTCTCTAAGTTTTTATATTTCATCAATTGGTTTGTGGAATTTGTAAATCTCTAGAAAAAAATGTTTCCGACAACTACAACAATGCTAAATATTGTAATCATTTTAACCTTCTAGTGACGATTTACTTTGTCTTCTTACAATTGAGAAATTGTCCTTTTTCCCGCTTTCTTTTACTACCTTGTCTAGAATATGGCGTCACATTACGTAAATCCATTTAAGGACTTGACAAAATTCCGAATGTCCAAACGAAGACATTAATATCAGATATGAGATTTTACAAGCACTCCCATAGGCAGATCACGTTTGACACTGGCGTGATATGATTGTCCATAGTTCAAATAATGGCTCTAAGGTTTTCACCAAGGTCAGCTCTTTATCGATATAGTTGGTATAGGGAATGTCTGTCCGTTTGAGTTCTACCTATCGAGCGAGAATTCGGAAGATGAGAGGAAGGGAAGAAGGCATGACAGAGAAGACCTTCTTGGGTGAAACGGATGAAAATGTCATGGACTGTAATGAAGTTCAAAAAAGGTGATTAGGGTTTAAGATAATGGCGGTACCTAGGTGAAAGGGAGGAGACTGAGAAATATACCCATCTGAAGGAATGCGAGTAATGAAGATAAAACAAGAAAGAATGAAAGAACGAAATAAGCTGAAGAAATTCAAAAGGAACAAAGAAAACGTTTAAGGAAGAATAAAACAAACAATCTCTGTCTATAAAAGGCAGGATGTGTGTGTGTGTGTGTGTGTGTGTGTGTGTGTGTGTGTGTGTGTGTGTGTAACGAATGCACGGCCGCAATTTTTGACGGATTTGCACCAAAATTTACATGCACATGCTCCAAGTTAGCCGGAAGGCCAAGACCGACTTTGCATTTCCCAACTCCCATCGATAGTGGAAATAATCGATTTTTTCATGCTTCTACAGCATTCATGTAGTTTGCGGCCATTTTCTACTGGCCAGAGTGAGAGCGTATAACTGGCTGCCAGGAATAGGCAGGAAGATTCTATTTGCCAGCGTAAATGCCAACAGCTGACTGACACGAAAGTTAACTAGCATGCTACCATGCAAAAAAAAAAAAAATCAATAGCTACATTCGTCACAAGTGGGAAAAATTTAAATCTGCATGTCACTTTACTCCAATTGGCTCATTCGCTTGCTTAAACTCAACGTTGATTCTGATTCCGCAGAACTGGGTTGGGTGTGAAAAAGTATTTGTTGTTAACATTCTTTTTTCATTCGGTTTTTCCAGTTACGAGTCCTTTTTTTTAAAGCTGATCGTTTTGTGTTCATTTTGTTTAGTTCTTTTTTCGTAACAGATTTAATATTTAGTATAGAGCTTAGAAAAAATTCGCAGTGTGAGATAGGCAAGAAGTAAGGCATGTAGCAACATCAGCACGGCAAAGGGCACTCCTTTAAAGGCAAGAAAGGGCAAAAATATTTTAAGTCAAGTGATAGCGATTGCTGCATGAGTCGTACGATTTTTGAATCAAGCACGGGCAACGCCGGGCCATGCTGCTAGTATAAGACTAAGAATAACAGACAAATCTGACGCAAAGACTTTCGGCAAAGTACGCCACAAGGATGTGCTGGAACTGCTGAGCAACATTGATATATATATATATATATATATATATATATATATATATAAGCGTTTCACCCCAAGCACGCAAGGGGTTACAGAGAGTTGGAGCTAGAGCAAATAGGACTGATAGAGGATTGATCAGGGCATCTGGAGACGACCTACTACCATCTTTATCCATCGATCGCTTACCTATCCTCTGTTGAAGATATTTCGATAGCGTAGAGCATTTTTAGTTTACTCAATGTTTACACAGCTTGTGAACATGCCGAAAATTAATTATAAATTTTAATAAACTTTCCTATCACATATTTTTTTGTTTATAAGCGTTTCACCCCAAGCAAGGCGGGAAAACACTAGCACGCAAGGGGTTACAGAGAGTTGGAGCGAGAGCAAATTGGAGTGATAGAGGAAAGGATGAAGAGAAGGATAGGGGATAGATCAAGGCATCTGGTGACGTCGATTGACATTACATTTGAATAGTTAGAGATTCTAGCTATCAGGGAAACAGGAAGAGGGGAGGGTGTTCCACAGGTGAGAGGTGCGAGGCATGAAGCTATTGGAGTAGAAGAGACGGCTACATTTAACAGTTTCGACAGTGAAATGATGAGAGCGAGATGCCAGTCTAGTAGACCGCTTAAATGCATGAAGTTTGGGAACCAGCGAAAGCAGCTCCTCAGAGCAGTTACTATGAAAGTATTTGTAAAAAAGACAGAGGGAGGCGACGGCACGTCTGTGAGAGAGCGACTGCAGACGAGATGCCAGATCAGGGCCAATTATGTTGCATATCCGTTTCTGGATCTTATCGAGAACCTTGAGACAAACATAAGGGGCACCAGACCATATATGGCAGCAATACTCCATGCAAGGGCGAATGGTTGATTTGTAGATTTGAAAGATCGACTCCGGCGAGAAAAATTTCCTGGAAAGATATCAGAATAATGAAGAATATATACTGACAGCAAACGGCATGCATTCGCATCAAGAATGAGTTCAGCGAATATACAAAAATAGAAAGGGGCGTAAGGCAAGGATGTGTCTTCTCACCGGACTTATTCAACCTATCCGTCCAGGGTAAGACGATAAACTACGCCCAACAGCGGGGCCTCTGATCGGGAGGTTTTAAAGAGCGGGGAACTACTCTTAATTGCTGGTGTTCCCAGGTCCACCCTGATCCGGGGTCCACCCTGATCCGGGGTCCACCCTGTTCCGGGGTAGTAACACCTGTTAAGATTCCAGCTGGGGGCAAATATTTAATATTAGCAGACACGGAAAAGAAACTACAAGACCTCCTACAGAAGGTAGCGAAGGAGAGCAAGAAGAAGGGACTAACGATAAACTACAAAACAGAATGCATGGTCATCAGTAAAAGGAGGAGCCCGAAATGCGATTTGCAGGTCGGGGGCACTAAAATCAAACATGTGCGCAACTTTAATTATCTGGGAAATGTGTTGACGGAAGCCAGTAGGTGCGACGCTGAGATCCGATGAAGGATTGGGATCCTCAAAGACGCATCCCAAAAGCCGGGTAGAGTACTGCGAGAGAGGAGGATTTTTATGGTGACAAAGAAAAGAGTACAGAGCTGCTACGTGACATCTGTCCTCCGATACGGCAGCGAATATTAGACAGTCTCGTCAGAGATGAAGAAGAGACTCGTGGCAGCGAATATGTGGTTTCTACAGAAGGATGCTGAGGATATCATGGACCGAGCGTGTGAGGAACGATGGGGTCTTGGAGAGGATGCAAGCAAGGAGAAAGCTTATACTTAACGTAAAGAAGAGGCAGATAAAATTTCTCGAATACGTAATGAGAAAGGAGGGTCTGGAGAATCTGATACCCAGGGGTCGAATAGAAAGAAGAAGAGACATGGGAAAGGAACGCACGATATACCTGGTGGGATTAAGGAAGTGGATGGCAGAACGTTGTCTCAGTCCGTTCGTTATCTATCTATCTAGCTAGCTAGCTAGCTAGCTAGTCCATTCATAATCTATCTATCTATCTAGCTAGCTAGCAAGCTAAGTCCGTTCATAATCTATCTATCTATCTATCTATCTATCTATCTATCTATCTATCTATCTATCTATCTATCTATCTCAGTCTGTTCATATCCGCATCTATCTATCTATCTATCTATCTATCTATCTATCTATCTCAGTCCGTTCATTATCTATTCATCTAGCTAGCTAGCTAGCTCTGTCCGTTCATAATCTATCTATCTATCTAGCTAGCTAGCAAGCTAAGTCCGTTCATAATCTATCTATCTATCTATCTATCTCAGTCTGTTCATATCTATCTATCTATCTATCTATCTATCTATCTATCTATCTATCTATCTATCTATCTCAGTCCGTTCATTATCTATCTATCTAGCTAGCTAGCTAGCTCTGTCCGTTCATAATCTATCTAGCTAGCTAGCTAGCTAGCAAGCTAAGTCCGTTCATAATCTATCTATCTATCTATCTATCTATCTATCTATCTATCTATCTATCTATCTATCTCAGTCCGTTCATTATCTATTTATCTAGCTAGCTAGCTAGCTAGCTAGCCTGCCCGTTCATAATTCATCTATATATCTATCTAGCTAGCTAGCTAGCTAGCTAGCTAAGTCCGTTCATAATCTATCTATCATCTATTCATCTATCATTCTATCTATCTATCTATCTATCTATCTCAGTCTGTTCATATATATCTATCTATGTATCTATCTATCTATGTATCTATCTATCTATCTATCTAGCTAGCTAGCTAGCTAGCCATGTTAGTATACTTCATCTAATTGCCACGTATGATTAGTAATTAGGATTTTACCAACGCTATTCCAAATGAAGAAGAAGAAGAAGAAGAAGAAGAAGAAGAAGAAGAAGAAGAAGAAAAGACATAATAAAGAAGGAAGTAAAGAATGAATGAAAGAAAAAGACGAAAGAAAGAAAGAAAGAAAGAAAGAAAGAAAGAAAGAAAGAAAGAAAGAAAGAGTAAATAGTTTACATAGAAGAATAGTGAAAGAATGGTTGGAGTAAAGAAAGAAAGAAAGAAAGAAAGAAAGAAAGAAAGAAAGAAAGAAACAAAGAAAAAAAGAAAGAAAGTGTCGGAGACGAAAAAAGAGAAAAAAGAAAGAAAATTACAGGAAAAGAAGAAGAAATAAAGGAAAGAAAAACAGAAAAGGAAAGGAGAGGCGAAAATTAAAAGTAAAGGAAAGGGTGGAATCAAGTAAGACAAGTAGGGAAGTTTCAAGAATAAAACGGAAAGAAATAATGAAATAAAGAAGAAAGAAAAAAAAATGAAAGAAGATAAGAAGAAAAAGGAAAGAAAGTAAACAGAAAGAAAGAAAGAAGAAAAAGAAAAATTAAATAAAGGAAAAGAAAGAAAGAATGAAAGAAAGATAAAAAAAAAGAAAGAATAAAAACTAAAGTAAGAAAGTAAAAGAAATAAAAAAAAAGACCGGCTGTTAGAATTATATAAACAAAGAAGAAGCAATTATTAGAAAGAAAAAGAATAAATAACCGAAACGAAATGTTGATCTGTAAGAAAAAAAGAATGTGACGAAAGTTACGAAGAAAGCAAAGAAGATCGAGAAAGCAGAAAAGAAGAGAAGGTGAAGGAAAAGGTAAAGAAATACATTCATACAAATTCTAAGAATGAAGGAAATGAAAGAAAAAAATGAAAGAGAAATATCGTGAAGGAAGTTTTAAATCACTGAAAAATAAAATTAAAAAAAAATTCGCTAAAAAAAAAAAAAAATATGAATAAGAAACGAAAGATGTAGAATTAATAAATGAAGAAAAAAAAGATCTCTGAATGAAAACAACCCGAAGAAGGAAAAAAAAGAAGAAAATAGGGTATAAAATACACCGGAACAGCCAAGAAGTTAGTCAAGGAAGGAAGGAAGGAAGAAAGGGAGGAAGGAAGGAATAGGCTGTCCATTAGTACGATTGAAAGCGGTGTTGGTCATATAAGAAGCGAAGGTCTTATGATCAGTGTCGGCCCTGACATCCGCCGGGCGTTCGTTTGAATGTCCATCTGGGATTAACGTTTAAATGTGATGGGCACTCATTCTTATCTATTTTAGGGGGAAAGAGAAACCAGGAAAGAGTGAGACAGAGAGACGTCGGGGAAAGAAGAAAAGTCAATGGATACTTGAAGTTATATGAGAGATGGCAGTAGTGGCATGATATCGTAGTGGTAAAAAAAAATGGCGCTGGGGTTGTTTGAACTGATCAGGTGTAATTGGACAAGGAGTAAATCGGTAGATGGAAGAATGGCGGCCGGAGGGAAGTGGCGCGAAGGAGGAGTTAGTGTCTGAAAACAATGTATAAAAGTGGACAAAGTAATAGCAAAGCGTAAAGGATAGTTTGAGTAAAAAAAAAAAAAATCAGCGAAAGAATGATACAATGAGATGAACAAAATGATCCACGTAAAGGAAAAGAAGAGAAATTAAGGAAGAAGTATAGATGTGAAAGAAAAACTGAAGGAATACAAGAGAAGAAAAGGAAGTTAGACTTATGGATGGAAAAAAAATGTTATGAGTTTTACGTTAATTTTATCGTTGTTTACTTTTCTATATACATTAATATTTTTCGGGTTTTTTTTTTTCATTTCTGTTTTTTTTGTCGTTTTTTTTTCATACATTTTGAACCTTGATGTTTTTTAAATTTTCTTCTTTCTTTTATTCCTCTCATTTATATTTGTCCTCCCTTTTTCTTTCTTTTTCTTTTCTCCCTACGATTTCATTTTTCCTCGACTTTTTCTTTTCATCATTTCTTTTATTTTTCTTCTTTATTTCTTCTTTATTTTCTTTCTTCTATTTTAAATGTCTTCACTCCTAACTCACCCTTTCATTTCCTTCCTTCATTCCATCCACCTTCCTTCCTTCCTTCCTTCCTTCCTTCCTTCCTTCCTTCCTTCCTTCCTCCCTTCCTCCCACTTCCCTTCCTTCCTCCCTTCCTCCCACTTTCCTTCCTTCCTTCCTTCCTTCCTTCCTTCCTTCCTTCATTCCTTCCTTCCTTCCCTTCCTTCCTTCATCCCCTTCCTCCCACTCCTTCCTTCCTTCCTTCCTTCCTTCCTTCCTTCCTTCCTTCCTTCCTTCCTCCCTTCCTCCCACTTCCCTTCCTTCCTCCATTCCTCCCACTTCCCTTCCTTCCTTCCTTCCTTCCTTCCTTCCTTCCTTCCTTCCTTCCTTCCTTCCTTCCACCTCCCGTCCTTCCTTCCTTTACGTACTTGGTCTTATCATCCTTTCTGTCTTTCACTTTCCTTCCCTCTTATTTTCTTCCTTCTATTCTATTTTTCCTAATCTCCTCCCCTTTTTCATTCCTTCCTTTCTTCCCTACTTCATTTATTTATTCTTCCTAACTATATTTCCTTCTCGAACCTCCCCTTTTTAGTTCAGTTTCCTTCATTTGCTCTTGTTATTTTCTTCATTTTCTAGTCTCTCGTTTATTCGTTCGTTCGTTCGTTCGTTCGTTCCGTTTTTCTTTCATCCATTTTTCTTTACTTCTTAACGAATTACTTTTCATTCTTCGGTGTTTTCTTCATTTACTTCTTCTTCCGTTTCCCCACTACGTTTTTTTTCATTTTGACTCATTTTCAATTCTTCTCCTTCCAATCATTCTTTCTTTTTTTCGTTTTGCTTTTCTTCCTCTTTCTTTTTTTTTCTTTTCTTTCTAACTTTTGTGATTTGCTTCTCTTCCGTCTCCCTTGCTTCATTTCTTTCTCTTATTTTCTTTCTTTTTTCATTCACATTGCATCTCGTTCTTCCTTCCTTATTATTTTTCTATAATTCTTTTACATCTTTCCTGAGTCTCTCTTTTTCTTCTTCCTACAATCATTTAAACTTAATAATGAAACTTATTTTCTTCACGCTCTTCACTCCTTTTCTTCTTTATTTCATCTCTTTCTCTCTTTTTCTTCTATTTTTCTCTTTAACTCTTTTCCTTTATTTTCTTTTTCTCCTAATTTTCTTTATTCCTCTTCTTACAATCTTCCTTATCTCCTGTCTAAATGTTCTCGTCTCTCTCAGGTTTTTTTTTTTGTTTATTTAATTCCACTCCGCCATTGATTTCTTTATATCTGACAACGCTCGTCTAATATTTGACATCGTCTTTTAATTCAAAATCGCTTCTGATAAATAATTTTGTAAGTCACGAAGCTTAGCCACACTAAAATAAAAAAATAAAAAATGGCCATTCTGGTGACGATAGAAGAGGAAAAACTTCGTTTACACGGAAAAGCAAACCTTTACGTAGTTCACACTTATAGAATTACAAGTGTCCAAATCAGCTACAGAAAGAAAAAAAAAAAAAGAAAAAAAGGATAGCCAATGCCCTGGGGGACAGGGTGGTCATAGGTAAGACATCGGGATGGTGGTAGTAACAACTAGCACGTCAGCTGAAAGGGCGCACATAAAAAACAGACACACAAACACACACAATAAAACGAAAAAAGAAATACGGGTGAACACTTGCCAAATAACGTGTTGCAGGCAAGGTTGAAGCAAATTATTTAATAGCTTTTTTTCTGGTATTTCTTCTGTGTGTCCGTTGATCTGCGGGTCGGTCGAATTTAATCTCTAAGTATGTCCATGCTAAGCGCTTTGTTTTCAACTGTTTTTCTCCATTACTGCAAGTATGATTTCGACGGACTGTCATTTACGCGGAGTCTGGAAAGAAAGTCAGCCATGAAAGCATTAGAAAGATAGTGCAGCGTCTTAACACAAATGATTTTTTTTTTTTTGTAACAAAACTTCTTTTGGCTTTTCTTTTCTCGTATTTTATACTGTCTTCCTTTCAATTCTTTTTAAAAGATTTTGTGACGTATTTTTCTTCCATTTCTCACACTTCCACTCTCTTACTATCTTTTCTCTTTCTTTCTTTCTTTCCTTCTTTCTTTCTTTATCTTCTTCTTAAATATTTTCAGAAGTATTTCTTTGTTGAAGACTTTTCTTTGCTTTTTCTCTCTTAACTCTCTTCATCTCTCTCTATCTTTCTCTCTCTATCTTTATATATTTTCCCTCTCCATATCTTTCGTTTTTTCAAATATCCTTAAATTATTTCTACGTGTTTCTTAGATAGAAATGAAAGAAAAAGTGTAAACTATTTACTCTTTCTTTCTTTCTTTCTTTCTTTCTTTCTTTCTTTCTTTCTTTTCCCCGTTTTTCTTTCGGCGTTTTTCTTAGTTTACACTTTTTCTTTCATTTTTATCTCTTTACCCATATCCATTTCTTTCTTTCTTTCTTTCTTTCTTTCTTTCTTTCTTTCTTTCTTTGTACGTTTTTCTTAGTTTATGCTTTTTCTTCCATTTCCATCTTTTTACCCTTTCTTTCTTTCTTTCTTTCTTTTTTCTTTCTTTTTTTTTCCATTTCTTTTTTACGTTTTTTCTTTTTATGCTTTTTTTCCATTTCCATTTTTACCCTTTCTTTCTTTCTTTCTTTCTTTATTTGTACGTTTTTCTTAGTTTATGCTTTTTCTTCCATTTCCATCTTTTTACCCTTTCTTTCTTTCTTTCTTTCTTTCTTTCTTTCTTTCTTTTTGTACGTTTTTCTTAGTTTATGCTTTTTCTTCCATTTCCATCTTTTTACCCTTTCTTTCTTTGTTTTTCTTAGTTTAGGCATTTTCTTCCATTTTAATCTCTTTACCCATTTCCTTTCTTTTCTTTCTTTCTTTCTTTCTTTCTTTCTTTCTTTCTTTCTTTCTTTCTTTTTTTAAGCATGCTACTTTCACTTTCGTTTTCCTTCTTTTCAGCGACCAATCGACGTTTTCCGAACCCTTTCTACCTTTCGTATTTTTTTCCTTTTCACTCGTTCACACACCCTCTTACCCTTATCGGGGTCGTCGATTGGATGGTGCTAAAGCGACAGTCGATGCAAATCCGCCATTTTATCGCCTTTTACTCTGTTTGTATTTGTCTTCGTATTTGTTATCCCTTTATGGAATCGCTTGGAACAAGCGATCTCACCTTAGGCAGAGGGAAACGGAGAGGAGACTGGTGAGTTGGGTGGGGGTTGTGGGTCGATGGGTAGTGCTAGGATCAAATCATTGCTTTTACCGGTCGCTGAGGTAGGGAAATGGATGGACAAGGGTTGAAGAGGGGGGGACACCAGAGCAATGGGGCCATTTGATGCGGACCGTGTTAAGAGTGGTTAAGGGTGTGTTGATGTTTTGACGAGTGAAGTGAAAATGAATGACAACTGGATTTTGATGGAAGCGAGGAGAGATTAAGAAAGAAAGAAAAGAATGAAAATAAGACGAAAGAAAGAAAGAAGAAAGAAAAGAACGAATGAAAGAAGAAATAAAAGAACAAATGAAAGAAGAAAAAAAGATAATGACGTGAAACGAGAAGAAAAAAGAAAATGAATGAAAACTCTGTATGAAAGAAAGAATGAAAGAAAGAAGGGAAGGAAGGAAAATTAATCGAATGAGAACTGGAACTCAGTTCTCCGAATGAGAAGAGGGTTTTGATGGAAGGGAAAGAGATTAAGAAAAAAGAATGAATAAGAAAGACTAAAAGAAAGAAAGAAAGAAAGAAAGAAAGAAAGAAAGAAAGAAAGAAAGAAGGGAAGGAAAATTAATCGAATGAGAACTGGAACTCAGCTCTCCGAATGAGAAGAGGGTTTTGATGGAAGGGAAAGAAATTAAGAAAAAAGAATGAATAAGGAAGACTAAAAGAAAGACAGAAAGAAAGAAAGAAAAGAAAGAAAGAAAGAAAGAAAGAAAGAAGGGAAGGAAAATTAATCGAATGAGAACTGGAACTCAGTTCTCCGAATGAGAAGAGGGTTTTGATGGAAGGAAAGAGATTAAGAAAAAGAATGAATAAGAAAGACTAAAAGAAAAAGAAAGAAAGAAAGAAAGAAAGAAAGAAAGAAAGAAAGAAAGAAAGGAAAATTAATCGAATGAGAACTGAACTCAGTTCTCCGAATGAGAAGAGGGTTTTGATGGAAGGGAAAGAGATTAAGAAAAAAGAATGAATAAGAAAGACTAAAAGAAAGAAAAAAGAAAGAAAAAGAAAGAAAGAAGGAAGGAAAATTAATCGAATGAGAACTGGAACTCAGCTCTCCGAATGAGAAGAAGGTTTTGATGGAAGGGAAAGAGATTAAGAAAAAAGAATGAATAAGAAAGACTAAAAAAGAAAGAAAGAAAGAAAAAAGAAAGAAAGAAAGAAAGAAACAAGGGAAGGAAAATTAATCGAATGAGAACTGGAACTCAGCTCTCCGAATGAGAAGAGGGTTTTGATGGAAGGGAAAGAGATTAAGAAAAAAGAATGAATAAGAAAGACTAAAAGAAAGAAAGAAAGAAAGAAAGAAAAAAAGAAAGAAAGAAAGAAAGAAACAAGGGAAGGAAAATTAATCGAATGAGAACTGGAACTCAGTTCTCCGAATGAGAAGAGGGTTTTGATGGAAGGGAAAGAGATTAAGAAAAAAGAATGAATAAGAATAAAAAAGAAAGAAAGAAAGAAAGAAAGAAAGAAAGAAAGAAAGAAGGGAAGGAAAATTAATCGAATGAGAACTGGAACTCAGTTCTCCGAATGAGAAGAGGGTTTTGATGGAAGGGAAAGAGATTAAGAAAAAAATGAATAAGAAAGACTAAAAGAAAGAAAGAAAGAAAAGAAAGAAAGAAAGAAAAGAAAGAAAGAAGGAAGGAAAATTAATCGAATGAGAACTGGAACTCAGTTCTCCGAATGAGAAGAGGGTTTTGATGGAAGGAAAAGAGATTAAGAAAAAAGAATGAATAAGAAAGAAAAAAAGAAAGAAAGAAAGAAAGAAAGAAAGAAAGAAAGAAAGAAGGGAAGGAAAATTAATCGAATGAGAACTGGAACTCAGTTCTACGAATGAGAAGAGGGTTTTGATGGAAGGGAAAGAGATTAAGAAAAAAGAATGAATAAGAAAGACTAAAAGAAAGAAAGAAAGAAAGAAAGAAGGGAAGGAAAATTAATCGAATGAGAACTGGAACTCAGCTCTCCGAATGAGAAGAGGGTTTTGATGGAAGGGAAAGAGATTAAGAAAAAAGAATGAATAAGAAAGACTAAAAAAAGAAAGAAAGAAAGAAAGAAAGAAAGAAAGAAAGAAAGAAAGAAGGTAAGGAAAATTAATCGAATGAGAACTGGAACTCAGCTCTCCGAATGAGAAGAGGGTTTTGATGGAAGGGAAAGAGATTAAGAAAAAAGAATGAATAAGAAAGACTAAAAGAAAGAAAGAAAGAAAGAAAGAAAGAAAGAAGGTAAGGAAAATTAATCGAATGAGAACTGGAACTCAGCTCTCCGAATGAGAAGAGGGTTTTGATGGAAGGGAAAGAGATTAAGAAAAAAGAATGAATAAGAAAGACTAAAAGAAAGAAAGATAGAAAGAAAGAAAGAAAGAAAGAAAGAAAGAAAGAAAGAAAGAAAGAAGGTAAGGAAAATTAATCGAATGAGAACTGGAACTCAGCTCTCCGAATGAGAAGAGGGTTTTGATTGAAGGAAAGAGATTAAGAAAAAAGAATGAATAAGAAAGACTAAAAGAAAGAAAGAAAGAAAGAAAAGAAAGAAAGAAAGAAAGAAAGAAAGGGAAGGAAAATTAATCGAATGAGAACTGGAACTCAGCTCTCCGAATGAGAAGAGGGTTTTTGATGGAAGGAAAGAGATTAAGAAAAAGAATGAATAAGAAAGACTAAAAGAAAGAAAGAAAGAAAGAAAGAAAGAAAGAAAGAAAGAAGGTAAGGAAAATTAATCGAATGAGAACTGGAACTCAGCTCTCCGAATGAGAAGAGTGTTTTGATGGAAGGGAAAGAGATTAAGAAAAAAGAATGAATAAGAAAGACTAAAAGAAAGAAAGAAAGAAAGAAGGAAAGGAAAATTAATCGAATGAGAACTGGAACTCAGCTCTCCGAATGAGAAGAGGGTTTTGATGGAAGGGAAAGAGATTAAGAAAAAAGAATGAATAAGAAAGACTAAAAGAAAGAAAGAAAGAAAAAAGAAAGAAAAAGAAAAAAGAAAAAAGAAGGTGAAAGAAAGAAAAATGAGAACTGGAACTCAAAGAATGAAAAAAAAGAAAAAGGAAATAATTAAAAAAAAAGACTGAATGAAAGAGAGACTGAAAGAAAGAAGGGAAGGAAAATTAATCCAACAAAAACTGGAACTCCGAATGACAACAAGGTTTTGATGGAAAGGAAAGAAATTAAGAAAGAAAGAATGAATGAGAAAAGAACGGAAGAAATAAAGAAAGAAGGAAAAAAGAACTAAAGAAAGACTGAATAAAAGAGCGAAAGAAAAACGAAAGAAAAAAATGAAGTGTAATATGAAGAAAAAGAAGATAATGAATGAAAACACTGTATGAAAGATAACTGAATGAAAGAAAGGAAGGAAGGAAAGTAATCCAGAGTGAATTGGAGCTTAGCTCTCTGAATAACAACTGGGTTTTGATGGAAGGGAAAGAGATTAAGAAAGAAAGAATCAATGAAAAAAAACCGAAGAAAGAATGAAAAATGCGGAGAAAAAGAAAAAAAGGAAATGAATGAAAACGAAGAAATAAACGAATAAAAAAAGAAGTGGGAAAAGAAAGAGAATTTTAAATCCGAACCAAAACAAGCGAAAGAATAAACTATTGACAAGAAAGAAGGCGCAAAAGAGAAAAAGAAAAGGAAAAAAGGAAAAAGTGAAGAAAAGGGAAAATAAAGAAAGTGAATGAAAACGAAAGAAAAAAAAGAATGAAAAAAGGAAGAAAAAGAAAAAGAAATGGGATAAAACGAAGAAATCAAAGAAAAAAGGAAGAAAAAGACTAGAATTTTAAAGAAAGAAAGAAAATGGAGAGCTAAATAAATAAAAGAAGGAGCATAAGAGAAAGAAAGGAAGAAAATGACAAAAAAAGAAAAAAGAAAAGGAAAAGAAAAGGAAGAAAGAAAAGAAAAAGAAAAAAGAAAAGAAAAGGAAGAAAGAAAAATAAAAGGGAAAGAAAAAAGAAAAAGAAAAGAAAAGAAAAAAGAAAAAGAAAAAGAAAAAGAAAAGAAAAGAAAAAGAAAAGAAAATAAAAAAAAGAAAAAGAAAAGGGAAAGAAAAAGAAAAGCAAAAAGAAAAAGAAAAGAGAAAGAAATAAAAAGGAAAGAAAAGAAAAAGAAAAGAAAAAGAAAAGAAAAGAAAGAAAAACAAAAGGGAAGGAAAAAAAGAAAAAGAAAAGAAATAGAAAAGAAAGGAAAAAAGAAAAGAAAAGAAAAAGAATAGAAAAGAAAGAAAGAAAAAGAAAAGGGAAAGAAAAAAAGAAAAGCAAAAAGAAAAAGAAAATAAAAAGAAAAGTAAAGGAAGAAAGAAAAATAAAAGGGAAAGAAAAATAAAATGAAATAAAATAAAATAAAAAGAAAACAAAAATGACAAAAAAAAAGAAAGAAAAAGTAAAACAAGAAGAAATAAATAACCGAAATTCATTGCTTCGTTTTCTCCGGCTTTTAAAGCCATAAAATATTTTTAGATTGTAACTTTTTGGGAGAGATAATAATGGTTTAGTGATTAAAGTTTTATTAATTAATCCATAGCTGGGGGAAGTATAAGAGGTGGTTTCCTACCTTTGCCAAGGATATTTGTACGTAAGTGACTATAACGAATCCAACGGGAATATGAACTCAGCGCTTTCAATGCCGGGTTTTGATGGAAGTGAAAGAGAGAAATCAAACGACAAAACGCCTTAAAGAGATTCCAGGAGAAAAACTGTGATTGAAAGACAAAGGAGGAATGGAAAGTAAATCCAACGGAGATTGGAATTCGACTCTACGATGAAAAATTCTGTTCAATTATCCTTTACACCACCCGGAAATCCAAATATTCGGCAACTGAAAGCGGTCACCCATCTAAGTAGTGACCAGGCTCAACATTGCTTAACTTCGGTGATCGTACGGGAAATGGTGTTTCAATGTCTTATGACCGTAAGCCCATTATATCACCCACACGTCCACGCTTACAGCATCTAGTATTCCCAAGCGATCACCCATCTAGGTACTGACCAGGCTCGACGTTGCTTAACTTCGGTGATCGTACGGAAAAAGGAGTGTCAATGTGATATGGCCGTAAGCCCATTATACCACACGCACACCCAAGCTTACAGCACCTGGTATTCCCAAGCTATCACCCATCTAGATACTGACCAGGTTCGACGTTGCTTAACTTCCGTGATCGTACGGAAAACGGTGTTTCAATATTATATGGCCGTAAGCCCATTATATCACACACACATCCAAGCTTACAGCACCTGGTATTCCCAATCGATCACCCATGTAGGTACTGACCAGGCTCGACGTTGCTTAACTTCGGTGATCGTACGGAAAACGGTGTTTCAATGTTGTATGGCCGTAAGCCCATTATATCACCCCTATATCCAAGCTTACAGCACCTGGTATTCCCAAGCGGTCACCCATCTAGATACTGACCAGGTTCGACGTTGCTTAACTTCCGTGATCGTAGGGAAAACGGTGTTTCAATGTTATATGGCCGTAAGCCCATTATATCACCCACACATCCAAGCTTACAGCACCTGGTATTCCCAATCGATCACCCATATAGGTACTGACCAGGCTCGACGTTGCTTACTTTCGGTGATCGTACGGAAAACGGTGTTTCAATGTGATATGGCCGTAAGCCCATTATACCACACGCACATCCAAGCTTACAGCACCTGGTATTCCCAGTCGTTCAACCATCTAGATACTGACCAAGTTCGACGTTGCTTAACTTCGGTGATCGTACGGGAAATGGTGTTTCAACATAGCTCATGCAACGTGGTGTATATAGAGTACTTGATAGTTTTCCTGCGACATTGGCTTCACACACACAAAGAAAAAAAATTGTAAAATATCAAGATTTTCGTGCGACTTAAAATAAAAACTTGAATAAATTCCTCATTTTTTATCCGATTTTCTTCAAAGATGTCGCAAAAAATTTGTCATCATGCAAGAAATAAAATAGTGTAGATTTAGTCCGCGTATAACGAAAAACCACGAAAAACTGTTAAAAAAGCCCGTTTTTCGGATATAACTAGTTTGTCATCCGCTGATTTCCAAATTTGCCATGTAAATCTTACTTATTATAAAACCCAGGTTGTGTGTGTGTGTGTCTGTCTGTACGTTTATATATTGGATCGGATTTCCTACATTTTTCAACCGATTTCAACAAAACTTCACAGGACTACGTAAAGATACCTTGCGGTGGTTCTGCCAGTGCCAAAAATTGGAAAAAACACAATTGTTTTTGCACGAAATCAATTTGAAAACACCATTAAGAGGCATCGCGAGAATGAAAGGGGGACAACTCATATCGAGTTATACTTATTATAAAACCCAGGTTCTTTGTGTGTTTGTGTGTGTGTTCGTTTATATATTGGATCGGATTTCCTACATTTTTCAACCGATTTCAACAAAACTTCACGGGACTACGTAAAATTACCTTGCGGTGGTTCTGACAGCGCCAAAAATTGGAAAAATACAATTGTTTTTGCACGAAATCAATTTGAAAATACGATTAAGAGGCTGTCGCAAGAATGAAAGGGGGACAACTTATATCGAGTTATATTATTATTATAAACCCAAGTTGTTTGTGTGTGTGTGTGTGTGTGTGTGTGTGTGTGTGTGTGTGTGTGTGTGTTTATTTATATATGGGATCGGATTTCCTACATTTTTTCAACCGATTTCAACAAAACTTCACTTTTTTTTTTTTTTTTAGGTAGTGTTTCTTATTGTCTTGCACAATTTTTTTTATTTTTACATTCAGAATGCTTTAAAAATTCCATTTACAAGACAATTGTTTATAATAAAATTCTATTCAATCGGTAGATCCATAACGATTGAAAACAGTGTTTTTGTTTGAGTTTGGGTTTGACCAATTCGTAAAAAAAAAAGAAGAAAAAAAAAAGAAAACAAAACGAAAAAAAAAACTAATTAAGACATGCATGTCCGTCAACCTTAAATAATAATCTTTGTCAATTTTATTTTTGAGTCTTTATGATGGATGATACTTGATCTATCTCTTACTGTTACATCCCCGGGCAACGCCGGTCTCTACTGCTAGTTAAATATAATACCCAAATTCTCTTGTGCGAATGTTTGGTTTAGATTATTTCAGTTAAGTGGACGAAATCTGCGACAAATTAGTTCCAAAATCGGCTTTTGCCATTTATAGTTTCTTCATATGATTCGATCCTAAATTGGCCTTCGAACTGCCTTTGATGCAAAAATTGCAGCGTTAAAAGGAAAAATTCCTGGAGAACCTCTTGTTAACCCCAACTTTACTGTAAACGTGCGAAGGAGGGACCGTTCTTGCATTTGCATTTGCAGTTGAATCAAGCTCTGACACTGCATCCCTGTTCTTATTTGATTATTAGATTTGTAAACAATACCATACTATTTGAAAGTTATTACGCCATAGGAAATTTATTGAATATCTAAAACACTGAAACAATTTAACCCCCAGTCAAAGACCACACAAAATGTTTTTATAGGTGGAAATCCTTTATTAAGAACAATCAAACACTTGCGAACGACATACCGTAAAAATGATGAGTGGAGGAGTAGCTTAGTATACCAACGGATGATGTATGCAAGTTGGTATGCAAGCAGACATTTCTAGACAGGGGGAGCAGGTATACAGGTTGGGTGCAGTTATACAATTACAGCCATTTACCCCCGGCCAACGCCGTGTATCTCGGTTAGTTAATTATAGTGCCGTTCAGATTTTAGCTTCTGTTTCTGACGATATTGTCTGTTTATTAATGCTTTATCTGTTCAAAGACATCTCTCGCTAATCTAGCACATCTTCGAATTTTGGGGCCACATTTTCTCGTTTTGTTCTAATGTTTATTTTTTCGTTTGCATCTTCCTCTTAGCTTACATGTTCCATCCATGGTATTCCTAGCATCCTTCTCAGGTTCCACATCTCTGTTACCTCAAGTCTATTATTCATTTCTGGGAAATTTACCCAGCATCTCATTACCGTACATTAAAATTGATATTACAAAGCAGTTCAGCTCTCTTTTCTTTGTTTCTAATGAAAACATCTTGTGCCCTCGTAGTTTCTTTAGCTTTTGGAAGGCATCTTTCCTTAATTGAATGCAACTTCACATTTTCCGTCATCTACCCAGATAGATTCATTTCTATATCTGATTGACGTCCCCAACACGTAACACACAACTTGAGCTGTCTCTTTGGCTTACAAGCATACATACCGTCTTCTTAGAGTTAATATTTTATCTTTTCTGTTTTCTTTCCTTTACTAACTTGTCTAAGTGTTATTTTAATTTTCTTTCTGCGTCTGTCATCAACACTGTCATTCGCTTATCTTGTGTTGTTAAGATTAAGTCAATCAATAATAAATCTTCGACTGGATTAAGCTTACAATTGTGGGGTCTGCTTAGTGTCTCTAATAATCGTGTACATTCCATTGGCACAAGTGTTTAATGTTTCAGCCGTGATAAAATACTAGAATATTTTGACAGATGTTAATCATAAGAGGCCGATACTTTTCACTTTGTACAAAATACTCTGAGTAAAATTTATCGTATTTTTTCTTGTGTCAGTCAAAATTCAGATAAGTAATTAATATATGTAAGAAATGAAAAAAAAAATGAGATATAAGATGAAGAAAGAAAGAAAGAAAGAAAGAAAGAAAAAGAGGGATAGATAGAAAAAGAAATAAACAAAGATAGATACACTGGCGAAAATAAATTTAAGACCGATAGTTAGTTTTATTCATTTCAAAATGTTTCTAATAAAACAATATCAGTTAGTTTTATTGTGTACGCTTTATGTAGAATTTATTTCTCTTTCCAATGATGTACAAATTGTATATTTTCTACAACTTAAAAAAACGTTAATGATGGATTAATTAAAATTATCCAAATTTCCCGGTAAAATAAGTTTAAAACTGCAGAGGTATAATGAAAATTATTGGCTAAATGGGTGGTCACATGGCTAATCATTATTATTAAAATACACCTTTAAGTGCTGAATCCAGATGCGTCGTCAGTGTTGTTGCTCCCATGTCACTAGAAGTTTCGGGTCTAAATAAACAACAGACTTCTTCGATGGGCGACCCGACCGAATATGATCAGTATTCGGTCCGCACCTAGAACAAAAATTTGCCACTAGCTTTAGGACGTGAATTATATAAAAGCAAAAATATAAGCAAACAACAACCAATCAAGACTTCACTTGGGCTATTCGAAGTTATAAATTAGGTATGCATGGTTCTAGTGATCTTCCTACTTACGGCCAAGAACGGGTGTTTTTTGGAAGAACAGAAGAAAACAAACCAATAAATGTACTCATAAATACATCTACATATATATATACACACATACACACACATACATATACACAAATACATATATACACACAAAAAAAACAAACGATTTATTATATTGGCTCGTCTTGCGAGTTGTTCTTTCTCTACCTCCCCTTTTAACTAACTTATTTGTTTGGTCTTTCTTTTCTTTTTACTTTTATTCTTATTTTCGTTTCTTTTCTAAACTACACTTAATAAAACGTTTACAATAGAGTGATTAAAATGACAGGCTATTTACAACTTTAAAAACTAAGAGAAAAACATTTGACTAAAATCGCTTAAAAATAAATTAATCAAACTATAAAACTATAAAATCATTAATTCATTATTTAGTGCAATAATTGAGCATTGTTATACAATTAATTCTCTATGTAAAAGCGTCGTAGTCTTAGCCTAGTGACTAGATCAAAAATGGCGTTACTTTGTCAATAAAACATTTCCTTTATGAACATAAGCAAGTAATTAAAGTGCAGCAAAACAGCTCATGTTCGGGCTTGCAAGCTTTACCAGCATAATGGATAATATAAAGATAGGCAAAGATCGCGACCCCAAAGAAAAACCACTGTACAAATGGAGAGACGAATTCATAGGCTTTCCGAAGATAACCGAATGCTGACGGCTGTGGACATTTGCAGCCAATTATCTGGTAAAAATGGCGTTAGTTTAACGCCGCAAATTGTCCGAAACCGTCTAAGAGAATTTGGATTATTCGGGTGCATTGCTAGAAAAAAAAGACAATTATTTCAGAGAGGAATCGACTCAAGCGGGCGAATTTCGCGAAAATTCACATTCAATGGATGACCGACGACTAGTGTAGAGTCCTTTGGTGCGAGGAGTAAAGCTTTTGCATCTTTGCATCGGATGGAAAAAACCTTTGTCAGACGCTGCCCAACCGAGGGATTCCGTCGTAAATTTGTCAAAAAGACGGCACAAGCAGGAGATGGGTGTGTAATGGTGTGGGGTTCGTTCTGCAGCTTTGGTATTGATCCAATTGTTAAAATTGATGGAAAACTCAACAATGTGGGTTACATGCAGTTAGTTAAGTAACATGTTCTGCCATATTTGACATATATATATATATATATATATATATATATATATATATATATATATATATATATAATATATATATATATATATATATATATATATATATATATAATAGGTTAGAGGTAGAATCTCCAATGATGCCAAATCAGCCGGGTTTCGAGCTCGGCTTGAAGCGATCGGATATCTAATCATACGGATGAGCTATGATACAGTGAAACAGATTGTCTGTGGATGTCGTTTTCTATATATATATATATATATAGTCTTCCACAGACAGACTATTACATGTGTAATATATGAAAGGTATGAATCCTTTTCTTTTCCCCCTAGATATGGTAAATAACAGATCGGCTTCAGAGCGTTGGATGACAACTGGTCGACCGCAGAAAGAAATGGCAACCTACTCCGAGAAAAATCTGCCTCGTCAGTCATGTATCAAAAGAAACATGATCGCCTAAGCGTGTATAAGCGTTATTACATAACTGACTGGCAATAATATTCACTTAACAGTGATGTCATCAAAAACGCTGAAATTAATACAGAATTATAAAAAGATTTAAAACTTTATACATTTTTCTAATTAAAATAAAAAATGAAAAAAATTCTAATAAAATTCATTATTCACTGAAAACTTTTTTTTCTTAAGACAATAGTGTCCTTAATATATCCTATGTATAAAACAATTAAAAGCTTTCTTGGTTAAATAATATAATAGTTTTATTTCATTTTTTGATTAAGAGAAGAATTTCAAAAAATGGAGTTTCTGTTTGGCAAAAACAAATCGATGATTTAAATTCTCCAAGGAGTCCGGCTAATATAAATACGAAGACTTTGAATTATCGAAATTTCCTAAAATTAAGTGTGGTTAAAAGATGTAAAGAAAAAAATATCAAGTGTTTCAAAAAAGATATTTAAAAAAAATATTTTCATTTACTTGTGAATAATTTCTGAAAATTTCATTAGAATCAGATAATTATTTGGTTTTTGCAAGAATTTTCAAAACAATTACCACAAAAAGACGCTAAATTTCCTAATAATAATCGCTGACCCACCCGTTAACGCAAGAAAAACAAGATTTTTTACCATAATTTTGAACGTGGAAGAAAGCATGAAAAAAATTAATAACATAATCGAAAAAATACTTTGGTCTTTCCTTTTAATAATAACAAATATTTTAACGATAAAACTTTATTTTTATTAAGTTTGAACCCTTTTTCATCATGGTAGAATTTTTTTGCTGGTACTTTATATATATATATATATATATATATATATATACTAATTGAAAAAAGCATCTCTGAATGATTCTGCCATGAATGAGCACCGAACAGCAAAAGCGAACCACGCCATCTAAATTATGAATTCCCTTTCTGTGGAGAGAGAGAGAGAGAGAGAGAGAGAGAGAGAGAGAGAGATATGAACAGACTGGGATATAAATATATATATATATATATATATATATATATATATATAGATAGATAGATAGATAGATAGATAGATAGATAGATGTGCGTGTGTGTGCGTGTCTGTACCAAAAGGGCAGTTCATATTTCTGTCTTTGTACACAGACATCGACTTTATAGAATTTCCCCATAGGCAACGTGCAAGCATTTGCGACACAAATTAGAAACGTCATCACACTTGACAAGTCAATAAAACACATGTATGACACAGTTTCCCTTGTCTTTGACATTTACAGCCGATTCCAAAGACTTTTCCTCAGTGAGATTTGTTTCTCATGAAGGAACTTTTACGTTTTTTTTCTTTCATTTTCTTACTTTCTTTCTTATTTTTCTCTGCTATTTCTGCTTTTTTTTCCTTGTCCGTCTTTTATTTCTAGAGATCTACCAAGCGTAGGTTACATGTGAAACAAGGCCGAAAGTTTGGAGCACCCGGTGAGTATAGAATTCTCTAATTGGTTTTGTTTGATCTAGAAGGGGAAACATTAACCATTACATTACGTCGAAGTGCCCGGGTTTGGTTAGGTTTGTTTCTGTTATGGTCCGGTTTCTTGTACCACGGTGATGGTCCAAGGCAGAACCAATAAAGAAGAACTCGAACACAGATATGGAATAACACAGATATATTACAAACAGGAATATATACAGAGAAGTAGAAAGTGTTAGTACGAACAATCAGGTTTAGTAGGGAGAGCAATCTAGTCTCGACCAGTATCACTATTCCAATGTCTTTTAGTAATTGTCTGAACGCGACTCTGTTTCGGACAGCCTCTGACTCGACTGACTGACTCCTGACGGACTTCACTCCAGACTTCAGACTGAACAGTATTTAGTGCCCCCCCCCACGAGGGCATCATGTAGCACAAGGCCGGTTTAACGTGGGATCTCCGAGCCCGTGGGCTCGGCCAAAAAAGATGTCTTTGAACCCGTATAAACGGGTTCAGGGTCGGTTTAACTCCCCGAAAGAGACTCCGCCCTTCGGCGTAGCCTCGTTCGGATTCCTCCCCGCCCGAAGGCGGAGAGTTCAACCGATCAGCCGGTCGGCCGACTTCGGACTGAGGCGCAGTATTTATTACGTATGGAATAGTCCATTATGTTATTATGGGTAAGGTCCCATAACAGTTTGTTTGCTTAACGGAAAATTAACTTCTTATTAGTCTTTTAATAACGAAATTTTATTTTCAATAGCGCGCTTTTCTTTTTCCAAAAATGTATTTCTGGAAATTTTTTCAAATATATTAGGTCATCCCATAAGTTCTGTCCGAATTTTAAATAAAGAAAACAAGTGACCAAATGTTACATTTAATTACAGATTCAATCAACAATGTATTTTCCCCGATTATCTATGACTTCCTTCCATCTATTAACAAGCTTACTAATTACTATAAAATTCTTTTGGCTCTGATTCGAAGAACTCACAAATGTTAGTTTTGACCTCTTCCTGTGTTACAAAAGCTGCTTCTTCCAAATGATTCTGTAAGCTACGAAACAAATGGTAGTCTGAAGAAGCAAGATCAGGAGAATAATGTGGATGATGAATTTTCTCCCAACCAAGTTCTTTGATCTTTTGTGACGTGTTTCTTGCTGAGTGGGGTCGCGCATTGTCCTGATGAAACATCACCCCTTTTCGATTCACTAGAGCAGGTCTTTTTTCCTCAAAGATTGGTTCAAACGCTATAATTGCTGACAGTATATTTGAGCATTAATTGTTGCATTAGGTGGTAAGAATTCAAAGTGGATTATTCCTTGGAGATCCCACCAGATTGAAAGAAGAACCTTTTGCCCATGAAGTTCCCTTCTCGGCTGTGGCTGGGATCCTTCCCCTTTACCAAGCCACTGTCCACGACGTTTAACATTTCGATAAAAGATCCATTTTTCGTCGCCTGTGACAAGTCTATCCAAAAAAGGTGGAATAAGTTGGCGAGAATGGAGAGAAGAGCAGATGTCAACACGGGATCTAAGGTTGTTTTCAGACAATTCATGAGGCACCCATTTTCCAAGTTTAGTAACTTTTCCAAGTTGTTGAAGATGACGATGAACAGTTTGAACTGAGAACCACTGCCAATTCCTCAACTGGTAAAGCAGGATTTTCTTCAAGGGCTGCTTCAAGAAGCTTTTCCTCAAACTCAACTGGACATCCAGTTCGATCTTCATCTTCAAGGGTGAAATCTCCACCTCTGAATTTTGCAAACCATCTTCTGCAAGTTCTTTCATTCATACATTCCTCTCCATAAACTGAGTGAATGTTTCTAGCCGCTTCGGCTGCTGAGTTTCCTTTCTTGAACTCATAAAGCATTATGTGCCTCAAATGATTCTTGGGTACTTCCATGTTAGCAGGGTTTTAATCAAACAAAATTTAATTTTATTGTTCACTGAAATAAAATTTGATCAGTTTAAATGCATCTAAACATAAAAATAATGTTCAGCTCCATTAGACATTATAAAATACTCTTTAAATTTCGTTCATTTTAACAAAAAGTTAAAATTCGGACAGAACTTATGGGATGACTTGATATTTTTCGATTTTTTTTTTAATCCCATTTGGGGCATTCCATATTTGCCCAGAGCTTAAACCCTAACAGGTGCTACCACTCTGAAGTACCCCGATCTTATATTTATATTTTCTTTCTACCTGGCGGCATCATGTTGAAACAGCAGTTCCCATAAGATCACCGAAGTTAAGCAATGTCGAGCCTGCTCAGTACCTAGCTGGGTAACCTCGTAACAATATCAGTTGCTGTAAGCTTATATTTGCAGTTGGTATAATGGGCTTACGGCCAGATCACGTAGAAACACCAGTTCCCATACGATTACCGACGTTAAGCAACATCTAGCCTGGTTAGTAACTATATGGGTGACCGCTTGGGAATATCAGGTGCTCTAAGCTTGGATGTTTGGGTGGTGTAATGAATATTGGCTGGGAATTGTTAATCGGAGAGCAGAGTTCCAATTTCAGTTGTGCGCGTTATATTCACTTACGAGCAAATACAACTGCTTCTCCCCCAGCTATGGGTTAATTAGTAAGACGTGTATCACTCAATGATTCTTTCTTGGTCGCGTTCTGCAAATTAACTTTATTGTTTGTTATTGTCTTGTTTTCTTCTTTTTTTTTTTAAAATCTTTTTTATTTTCCTGTTTCTTTCTTTTTCGTTTGCTTTTTTCTTTCTTGTTTCTTTCTTTTTCCTTATATTTCTCCTTTTTTTTCTTTTCCTTTTCTTTTTCTATTTTACTTTATTTTCTCTAAATCCAGTTTAGATTCCAAAACTGCAATATTTGGCTCTATTAAGTCCATATTCTTATTACAGGTTTCCCAAGAGTTTCCTTGCAAAATATTAGGTTGGTGCAAAAATAATGACGTAATGATGTCGTTTTTTGACGTTAAAAAATACGTCCAATAACGACATTATTACGTCATTATTTTTGCACCAACCTAATATAATATCCAAATCAGATTTCTGATATTTCCTGGCATAAATCAGATAAAATAAGGGCGTGTCAGGTATTTGAGGACATGTGATTATGCGACTGCAGTTATGTGATAATCACTTAATGTGATTTTATCTTTCCAGGACATCAAAGGCCAACCATCAACGAGATGATAGGACAATTACATCAATTGTTGCGATACAAGCACAGCGATGTTGAGATTTTACGTTCCTTGGTAGTCGCCAGGTCCTTTGAAAGCAAAGTATTCATAGTTCATAAGGAAGCTTCCATCGGGCATGTGCCGCCTGTGAAAAGCGCAACAAGCATTCACAACATTTAGACAGCATCCAGACCCCACAAATCGTACAGATTTTTTTAAGCTTTTCACCCCAAGCAAGGCGAGAGTGCCACTAACACGCAAGGGTTTACAGAGAGTGGAAGCAAGACTAAAGAGTCGTGAAAGAGGAAAGGATGAAGAGAAGGACAGGGAATAGATCAAGGCATCTGGAGATGTCGATTGATATTGCATTTGAATAGTTAGAGATTATAGCTATCATGGAAGCAAGTAATAGGAATGGAATTCTACAAACGGGAGGTGCAATACATAAAGCTATTGGAGTAGAAGAGACAACTACATTTAACTTTTTCGACAGTGAAAGGGTGGGACTGAGATGCCAACCTAGTAGCATGTTTAAATTCATGCAGTTTGGGAACTAGTGAAAATAGCTCGTCAGAGCAGTTAGCGTGAAAGTGTTTGTAGAAAAGACAGAGGGAAGCGACGGCACGTCTGTGAGAGAGCGTCTGCAAACGAGATGTAAGATCAGGTCGAATCCGTCTCTGGATTTTGTCTACGAACAGCGGGGCCTCCAGATAATATACGGCAGCAGTATTCTATGCAAACGCGAATGGTTAATTTATAGATTTGAAGGATGAACTCATCGAGAAAGACACAGAGAACCAACTTTCCTTGCAGTAGATGAAGCTATTGATTCAATATTATTTAACGAAACAAAAGAATTATTGCTGCCCAAACACACCTATATATATATATATATATATATATATATATATATATATATATATATATTGATTGATTGAATATTAGTGGAAAATATACATACATATGAAAAATATATCTAAAAAATTTCCATACATGTATATTTTCAGAAAAATTTTTTCCAAGAGGAAGGATCCAGGTAGAACTCAATGTCTAGGACAGAGTAAGGATATAATAAAAAGGCTTAAACACTAATATTAGTGTTTAAGCCTTTTTATTATATATATATATATATATATAGGTAACATCCGTGGTAAGCAATCCAAGTGAATCCTAGTCATAAAAAATATTAAACCTAATCCACAGAAGAGTGCCCAATGTATTTATTAGAGACCGTATATGAAAATGAATTACATGAAGATAAAATTCGATAGCCCATATGATATATGGCCATTTCACCCCGAACGGGCTTGTCCACATCAAGAAGTTAGATAAAAAAAAAAATGAATCATCATTTTTTCCTTGGTGTTGACAAGCACGTTTTGGGATTTTGTCCATATATATCAATTTATCTTCATGTATATATATATATATATATATATATATATATATATATATATATATATATATATATATATATATATATATATTCATCAAAGGCAGGGAAGCCACTAGGACGCAAGGGTTACAAAAATTTAGAGAAAGATCAGATAGGAGTGATAGAAGAAAGGATGAGGAGAAGGGTAGTGGATAGATCAAGGCAACTGGAGATGTCGATTGACATTACACTTGAATAGCTGGAGATTGTAGCTCACAGGGAAACAGGAGAAGGGAAGGGAGTTCCACAGGCGAGAGGTGCGAGACAAGAAGCTATTAGAGTAAAAGAGACGGCTACATTTAGGAGTTTCGACAGTGAAGGGTTGAGAGCGGGATGCCAGCCTCGTAGGGCGCTGGAACTCATGACGTCTGGGAACCAGCGAATGCAGCTCCTCGGAGCAATTGCCATGAAAGTATTTGTAGAACAGACAGAGGAAGGCGACGGCGCGTCTGTGAGAAAGTGACTGTAGACGAGACGCCAACCACATTGCATATCCGCCTCTGAGAACCCCGAGGCAAACAGCAGGGGCACCAGACCATATATGGCAGCAATACTCCATGCAAGGGCGAATTGCGGATTTGTAGATCTGGAGGATATATATATATATATATATATATATATATATATATATATATATATATATATGTGTGTGTGAGTGTATGTTCCGAGAAATTTAATAGAAAGTATGTGCCCTTCATTCAGTAAATGTTGTTAATACTGTTTATTATAAACAGAGCATGGATAAATTATTGTCAAAATTAAAAAAAAAAAAAAAAAAAAAGGAAAATCACACTGACATCTCATTTTGAGAGATATATTTACCAAATTATACAAAAATATCTTGAAATGCTAAAGAGTAAACTTATTCAGTAAAATCGCCATTGACTTCAAGACTGCCTCCAGACGACCTCGGAATCTCTTGCAACTCTTCTGGACTGTAGTAGGTCCTATATTTTGAAGTAAAACTAATTTAATGATAATAAATATGTATTTAACAATTAAGTTAAATGGAGCATTTATGTTCACTAGTAAATAGATACACTGGTGAAAATAATTTTAAAACCGATGGTAAAAGTTTTATTCATCTCAAAATATCTTCCTCCTAAAGCGATATCAATTAATTTTATTGTGTATGCTTTATGCAGAATGTATTTCTCTTTCGAATTATGTAAAAATTGTACTAATTGCCATTTTATTTCTCCCTGTTTTTTTTCCTTTTCTTTCTATTTCTTTCTATTTTCAGTTTTTCTTTCTTTTTTATTTTTCTTTCTTTTTTCATGTTTCTTTCTTTCTATTTTCTTTCTTTTTCTTTCTCTTTTTCTTTCCATTTCTTTCTTTCTGTTTTCTTTCTTTTTCTTCTTCTTTCTTCCTTTTCTTTTTTTCTATTTTCTTTCTTTTTCTTTCTCTTTTTCTTTCTTTCTGTTTTGTTTCTTTTTCTTTCTCTTTTTCTTTCCTTTTCTTTCTTTCTGTTTTTTCTTTTTCTTTTTCTTTCTGTTTTCTTTCCTTTTCTTTCTGTTTTCTTTCATTTTCTTTCTCTTTCTTCCTTTTCTCTCTTTCCGTTTTTTTCTTTTTCTTTCTCTTTTTTTCTTTCTGTTTCCTTTCTGTTTCTTTCTTTTTCTTTTTCTTTCTTTCTGTTTTCTTTCTTTTTCTTTCTGTTTTCTTTCCTTTTCTTTCTTTCTGTTTTCTTTCTTTTTCTTTCTCTTTCTTCCTTTTCTCTCTTTCCGTTTTTTTTTTCTTTTTCTTTCTCTTTTTTCTTTCTGTTTTCTTTCTGTTTCTTTCTTTTTCTTTCTTTCTGTTTTCTTTCCTTTTCTTTCTTTCCATTTTCTTTCTCTTTTTCTTTCTTTCTGTTTTATTTCTTTTCTTCCTCTTTTTCTTTCTTTTTCTTTTTCTTTCTGTTTTCTTTCTCTTTTTCTTTCCTTTTATTTCTTTCTGTTTTCTTTCTTTTTCTTTTTCTTTCTGTCTTCTTTCTTTTTCTTTTTCTTTCTTCCTTTTCTCTCTTTTCGTTTTCTTTCTTTTTCTTCTCTTTTTCTTTCTTTCCGTTTTTTTTTCTTTCCGTTTTCTTTTTTCTTTCTGTTTTCTTTCTTTTTCTTTCTCTTTTTTCTCTTTTTTCTTTCTTTCTGTTTTCTTTCTTTCTTTTTCTTTCCTTTTTTCCTTTCTTTATTTCTATTGAACTCCTATCTTTTCCTTTCCTCTTCTTTTCACTAAGTCTTTCTTTTAAACCCTATTGATTTTCTTTCTCTTTTTCATTCAATATCTGTTTATTTCTTTGTTTCTCTCTTTGTTTCCTTCAACTTTTGCACCCCTTTTATTTTTCTTTCTTTCTTTCTTTCTTTCTTTTTCTTTCTTTCTTTCTTTCTTTCTTTCTTTCTTTCTTTTGAACATCTATCATATACATTCATTCATTCATTCTTTGTCTCTTTGTTTCTTTCTTTTGAAATCATTTCATTTTTTTCTTTCTGTCATTCTTTCCTTCTTTCTTTCTTTCTTTTTTTCTTCTGCACCCCTATAATTGTCTGTCTTTCATTTATTCATTCTTTGTTCCTTTTTCTCGTTTAATTTTCTTTTCCTTCGCACCTTATTTGTTTTTTTTTTGTTTAAATCCCTATCTTCTTTCTTTCTTTCTTTCTTTATTTCGTTCTTTCTTTCGTTCTTTCTTTCTTTCTTTCTTAAATTGTCTCTCTTTCTTTCTTTTTGCCGTTCTTAATTTTTCCCTTCTTTCTTTCTTTCTTTCTTTCTTAAATTTTCTCACCTTTCTTTCTGCCTTTCTTAAATTTTTTCGCCTTTCTTTCTTTCTTTCTTTCTTTCTTTTGAGCATCTATCATATTCTTTCATTCATTTATTCATTCATTCTTTGTTTAT